AGGTGCTGCTGATCCCCTCCAAACAACAGCATGGGTTGTGCTACCTGGCCTGCCCCAGCCATCAGCTTGTTGTAAATAAAGCACTGTATACAATCCCTGAAAATCAGGAGTTGATGTAGAGAGGCATTATGCTGAGACACAGAATGTACACAGACACAGCCTCAGTACAGTATATAGCCATGCCTGCTGCATTGCCCATGTCCTGCCCATCCCAGCCAGGGCATATATATTTTTTTGCATTAAAATCTTAGTAACTGGTTGATAGAGCTGAATATGGTAAAAGCTGTGTAGAGAGAGTGAAGGTTGCTTGAGGAAGAAACCAGGCCATATTGAGACTGTTTGGCTTAAGAGACCCTCCTCTGACCATTCTGGTCAGAATTGTTTTTGACTTTGTAAGGCACCATCCCAGCTGTCATACTGAGGTTGGGTTGGCTGGGAGCCTGGACTGGTCTTGGACTGTGTGCAAGTCCTTTTTTGTCTCTAAGTATATTCCTCTTTTGTTAGCTCTTCATTTTTCTGGGGGAGTTTCTGTCACAAGCAGTGTTATCTGTCTGCTCTCTCTCTCTGTTTTATCTTATTGGATAAAGATCTCCCTGCCTTCCCTCAGGTAAACTCAGACAGGTCTGAGGGATGGCCAACAACAGGCTCAAAGACATGGAAATGACAACTGGGTTTTGGGTTGCTTCATGTGCTGACAAATCTGCTCCAGAGCATCCTGAGTAATCTCCTGAGTTCCTAAAGCAACATGGGGATCTTCCCCACATGCTCCCAAGTACAGATGCCTGTCCCTGGGACTTGCAGGACACCAGGAACTCTGCCCCACACTGCAGATCCCAGCCTGCCTGCACTCCTAGCTTTCTGGCCCTATAAACTGCTCGTTTGGCCCCAAACCAAAGGTGGGGAAAAGCTCTGCAGCATCTTCAGGAGCTGCTGCTCCCAAGAGGCAGCGAGATCGGGGGCTTTGCTCTGGTTCTGTGTGGGGGTGGAAGCGGCTGCCCAGCGCAGGGGAGTGAGCCGTGCCATGCAGCCAGCTTGTACCTTCTTTTTTGCCTTAAAATAGCCACTAATGTCATTTTTTACATCCTACAGTCTTTATCCCAAGCTGTGTATCTCACCCTTAAACAGAGTTATATTTTTAATTGCTGGCAGAGTATTATTATTAGACGCAAGCCTGCTGCTAATGTGCGGTGTGGCTCTGCGGAGGGCTGGATGAACCTACCTCATCCTGCAGACAGGCAGGCAGGGGATGAATCATCCTGCTCCTCTGCAGCTGATGCATGTCCTAAAATGTGCCTTCTCTCAGTCGGGCTTATTGCTGAGACCCCAGTTGAGGGAGAAGCCCACCTGAAAGCTGCTCTGCAGCCCCGCTGCCCTGCTGAGGGGCAGGGGAGCTCTGTGAGGTGGGCAGTGCCCGGACGCTCACTGCCAGTACACCCAACGTCAGCCTCCTCACAGGGGGATCTGCTCCACAACCAGCTGCTGGTGGTAGCCCACCTCAGGGGACCGTGGCACGTGTGCAGACAGAAGCCCTGTCTCCTGGCCATGGAGTAGCAAAGAGGCTTTCAGAAGTGAGCGTGGATTCATAAGCCCCCTGAAATGGAGATTCAGTTCTGATATTCAGTTCCCCTTCTAGTCTGGATGAGCCACCACAGTGCTAACCATAGGGAAGTAACAGGGTAAAGGAGCCCATGGGGAGGCATGGAAGGAAGGTGTGAGGAGCCATCCCATGGCTGCCTGGATCGCCTCTGAAGCACGACACTTTCTGGGGACGCCCGGGGCTGGAAAAACAAATCTCAAAAGCCAAAATAACAAAACACCATGGGAGCATGGCTGGGCTGGGCCACGGCAGGTTCCTGGCTTCCTGCTGGGATCATCGCATCCACCATTTGGCACATGTTCCAGGCTGGCCATTACCTGGTGTTTAAACAGACACACTTTTCAAAATAAACTTTTGCTGTTTTCACATACACCGGTGTGCAGATGTAGTGGCTTTGGATCAGTCTCTACCCAATAGATTTTTAAAGACTTGAGCATCCTAGGCAGGATGCTCAAACACCA